CCTGCCATATGGGCATCCAAGTACACACACAAACACGCCAATTACAAGTATTTCTAATAAATAGAAACACTTTACTGTCCCACCTTTGGCAAGCGCTTGAGGTGAAAATAGATTTCCTGAAACATGTCAGTTAAGCCACAAAGGCTGACTGCCCAGCTCTTCGCTCGGGGAGGAAGAGGGTGGTGTTGGATGGGGCAGCAAGGGCTGGATTGGGCCAGGCTTCTGGTTAAACTCAGACTTTGCTAGAGCAGCGGTCCCCAACCTTTTGGCACCAGGGACTGATTTTGTGAAAGACCGTTTTTCCATGGAGCAGGAGCGGAGAGGGGGAAGGTTTCGGGATGATTCAAGTGCATTGTATATATTGTGCCCTTTATTTCTAATCTAATGGCACCGCTGATCTGGCAGGAGGTGCCAGTCCACGGACGGAGGTTGGGGATCCCTGTACTAGAGGTCTTCCAGCCCACTGATTTTGTGTCATTTGTAGAAATGGTGCCAAATCGCTGTAAATGCAAGGCTGAGAGTTGTCTGTCCTCTTGCTTTGTTCTCTTTCAGATTCCAGAGAACACGTCTGTCCAATAATGTCAACTTAGTTTTACTTATTCTCTTTTGATTAAGGAAATCACCACAAAACCCACCTTCAAGAACTCTGAATGTCATGATTTTATTTCTGGCACCATAATATTCATGCTTCTGGGCCTGAGCATGTTGGAACAGCTTCTGAAACAAAAGCAGTTCGTTTTTCCTAATGTGATTCTTACACTCTTATTAAGTTTGCATTGCACATTTTAGTGTTGGTCTTTGCATAACTGAATCACTTGCTAATATTATTTTTGTTGCTCTTCTGTGATAAGAGTGAGCTGCAGTCCAGGAGAAAGAAGGTCCAAACCCTGCAGATCAGATATCACCTGGGCCTGTATGGACTCCTGGTCTTGCTTCCCTCCTGTGTTTACAGGAGTCACCCTTCATTCTGACTGTTCAGGCTTCTCTGTCTACTAGAAAGTTCCCTTCTGATCCCAACCTTGTCTAATTATTAACACTGAGAGGTACTACTGCTGAGTTGATCAGTAAGGGGGAGAAACTTAGGTTTGGGGCTAATTTTATTACATCTCAAAATGGCTTTGATGAAAATCTGCCACGTGTATCTATATGTCGTCAAACACTTTGCTTTAACTTCAAGGATATTACCCTCCACTTGGGCCGTGCTCTTTTCCATTCTTCTTCTTATTCTGTTATGCAAACAAATAGTCAGTTGCACACAGCGTAAGTAATACAGGTTTTACATGCAGAGCTAGAATTCATGGGGCACCTGCAAGCAGAGAACTTTTTTCAGGGAGTGAAAAGCCCACTGAGCACATCCACTTCTTAGGATTTTCTTGAAGGCAGAGAGTCATCGATCACAGCAGTCACCAGAGATTTTATTCCAAAGACTGAATTTTCTGTTCAAATGTCTGAAATACCTGACTCCCCAGACTTGGGGAACAGGAGAGGCAGAGAAAGCATTCAGGAACACATAGTGTGTTGGATATGAGTCTCAGTAATTTTTTTCATCCTAAGTGTCATTTGCTCTATTTGTTTTCCTTGCTTACATGTGGAGCTGACCCCTAAACGTGCTGATAAGAGAAGAATAAGTAAGTAAATGCTCCCAAGGTTCGAGGTTGATATAAAAGTCACTTGGTTTCAGTGAACCGGACTGGAACACGAGCCTTTTGTTTGCTGTTGAAAGTTTAGCACTTGAATTTCGGGTTGGGCTGTTCATTTCATTAAGGAAAATGTGGACACCTCATGCCAACCCCTGTTTTCTTTAGTCCCTGAGAATGAAAGGCATTGTGTATTCGGTCCACACACAAAAAAGTGAACAGTGACTTAATTGTACCCTGGGAACAAAAGCTATTACCTGGGGACTAAGATGGGAGACCCCAGTCTTCTGCTCACCCGACTTCACTCTTTATAAAGTCAACCTTGCTAGGAACCCCACAGCAAATGTTTGCATTGTGGCCGCTGTTTGCATTTGAAATTGTAATCCACAGAACGGTTTCTCCTGGTGCTTACAAATGAGAGGAATGTGGCGGAAGTGCAGACCTGGCTTATTCGGTAGAGGCCAGGCATTGGGCCCCAAGTTCCCTGACAAAGGCCAGACATCAAGCAGAAGGAGTAGACTGAAAGGGGAAGGACAGAGTTTGGTTCCTCCGCTCAACCTGCCTCTTCCCTGCAAAACCCCAGTGACACAAATTGATGACTGCATCAGTCATGTGGGTCCCATCTGCTTGCCAGCAGTTCAGCGGTGGTTAAATCCATTTAAAAAGTGTTGACCCACTGTTCAGTTATCTGCAGGCAACGACTGTGTGCAGTGTGAGAATTTGGGGGCAGCAGCTTTTCGGGTGGATAATGGCAGCCCCTTGATTCTTCCGTCACACAAGGGTGAAGAAACTGTATCTCCTTGAATGGTCATGTTGGGTCGGAAGCCACTTTTCTCTTCTGAGAGTGGCTGAGCAGTTGGCTTTGCTGTTGGTTGAAGCCAGCACTTTGGTTGAAGACCTCAAGTCCCAGGACATTTTCTTTTGCCTTTGGAGTATCAGCCAGGATTAATATTTAGAAGGTGTTTTGGTTCACTGGGGGAGAGTGTTGACTTGCCAGGGGTTGGGGATAAAGTGTCTCAAGTCAAAAGAGTTACTTCAGAATTTGAAATTCCTATTCCCTCAATGATCCCATTGAGTTGTGATAAATTGAGATCAGTGAATAGCACAGCTATTAATAATGGTGGTAGCAAAAACTAAGCTATAATTTTTTGACCTTTCATACTACATGCATGCTAAGTCACTTCAGTCGTGACTGACTCTTTGCAACCCTGTAGACCATAGCCTGCCAAGCTCCTCTGTCCAGGGATTCTCCAGGCAAGAGAATTGCTATTTCCTCCTTCAGGGGATCTTCCCAACCCAGGGATCGAACCCCGTGTCTCTTATGTCTCCTGCACTGGCAAGCAGGCTCTTTACCACTGGTGCCACCTGGGAAGCCCAAAATGTTCTTCCTTCTCACACCAAAAGTCGAATCCAGCCCACCTGGGTGAAAAGCAGGAATTGTAACCACTAGACCTTGTGGGATTTCACACTATATCATAACCTTTAAAAGCATTATCACTTATAATCTCACAGTAAGTGGTTTTTATTAACAAAATGAAAAGCAAGTGTTGAGATTGGTTCCCAAGACAGTGGCTAAATATGTTACGTTCTCCATGAAGTCATGACATCATGGACCTAAGCCAGCATTTCCCAAACTTCAGTGTGAACATGATTCACCTGGGATCTTGTGAAAATGAAGATTCTGGTTCAGTGGGTGTGGGTGGAGACTGAGAGTCTGCATTTCCAATGAGTGTGATGCTACAGGCCCATAGAACACCCTATGTGGTGAGTTTCTCTAAGTCAGAAATTGCCAAACCTGGCTGATTGTGGAATCGCCTGGAGACTGAAATACAGCTTCCCTTTCACTGTGTGGGTCACAACAAAAAATGGAAAATTCTTAGAGATGGAAATACCAGACCACCTGACCTGCCCCCTGAGAAATCTGTATGCAGGTCAAGAAGCAACAGTTAGAACTGGACATGGAACAACNAAGACCCTGATGCTGGGAAAGATTGAAGGTGGGAGGAGAAGGGGACGACAGAGGATGAGATGGTTGGATGGCATCACTGACTCAGTGGACATGAGTTTGAGTAAACTCCGGGAGTTTGTGATGGGCAGGGAAGCCTGGCATGCTGCAGTCCATGGGGTTGCAAAAGAGTCGGACATGACTGAGCAACTGAACTGAACTAACTGAACTGAACTTCTACCTTTGAGATGCTGATTCTTAAGACACCAGACTTGCTTTTATTGTTTAATTCTTTAAAAAAATATACTTACTTATTTGGCTGTGCTGGGTCTCTGTCTCTGCATATAGGCTTTCTCTAATTGTGGTGAGCAGGGGCTACGTGGGCTCAGCATTGCAGTGGCTTCTCGTTGTGAAGCCCGGGCCCTGGGTCACGTGGGCTCAGGAGTTGTAGTGCACCAGCTTAGTTACTCTGCAATGTGTGGGATCTTCCCAGACCAGGGATCAAGCCAGTGTCACTTGCATTGCAAGGTGGATTCTTAACCACTGGACCACCAGGGAAGCCCCCAGCCTGGCTTTTATACAGTAAGCCAACTCTAACCCCGCTGAGAGCAGCTGTGATCTATGTAAGATCACACACAGGAATGCAGCCTCCTGGGGCCCAGGACACCTCCGTCCTCACACCACCTGTGACTTACTGTTGACTGGAATCCTGTGCTTAAGGGTGCACCCATGTTTATGTCTTTCCTGCTTGCTGAAACTGCATAGCTGGCAAAGCACCCTGGCTGCCAGGAGGAATGGGCCTCACTTCCTGCCATGTGATCTGAGCTGGTCTTCCTCCCTGCATGTCTCATTGTCTGCTGCACGTTTCTCTCAGGTGGCAACTCAGCTAAGGTTCTGTCTCTACAGGATGGAAGCGGTGCTCCCTAAAGAGCTGGTGACCCTTGAGTTGTATCCTTGCACACAGCCATGTGTTAACATAGCATCTGGAGGTGATATGAGGAGGAAGTGGGGAGGACTGGGGCTGGGGTGGTGACGATAAGTGGTTCTAGAGGAGGCCGAGCATATATTTGCAGAGGTGGGCAGCACAGCAAAGGCTTCCCTGGCATTGGTGTCCATCCCTCACCAGGAAGGCCTAGGCTCTGGAAGTGCTCCCAACTCTAGCCAGCACCGTATGGCAGTGTCCTATGGCCTCAGGACATTCTCTAGTCACTTATACTCAGCCCCAGTCTCCATAAGTATCCAGGAACTCAGCAAGCTTTTGAAATGGTCCTACAGGATTCACTTCCTGCCCCTGCTCTCTATGACTCTAACCCAAGCTGACCCTTGATCATTTGGAGGTTTGAAGATATTTTCATTACTGCATGTTTGTTAGGATTAGTTTTCACCACTTGTGACAGAAAACCCAAGATAATAATGGCTGAAAGAAAATAGATTTTATTTCTACCTTGTGTAGAGGTCCATGCTGCTGTGGCACCTCTGTAGTATCAAGGACTTTGCCATCTTTTGTGATGTCACTCTGCCATCCTAAGTATGGGATTTTCACCTCATGGTCCAATGTGGCTGCACATGCTTCAGCCATCACATCTTCATTCCATCTGCAAGAAGAAAGGAGGGCATGTACTTTCTCATGAAAGACATCCCTTGAATGTTTCACCCAGTACTTCTGCTCAAATCAGTTTCAGCAAGATGAAGTTACATGGCTATAGCAAGGTAGTTACATTGCCACAGAAAGGCTGGGAAATGTTATCTTTACAGCAAGTGACCTGACTCTCAGCTGAAAGTTGATAATTCTAGGACTCAAAGTGATAAAGAACTCACCTCACCTGCCAATGCAGGAGATGTAAGAGACTTGGGTTTGATACCCGGTTCGGGAAGATCCCCTGGAGAAGGACTTGGCAACCCATTGTAGTATTCTTGCCGGGAGAATCCCATGGACAGAGGAGCCTGGAGGGCTATGGTCCATGGGGTCTCAAAGAGTTGGACATGACTGAAGCGACTTAGCACAGCACACAACACAGGACTCAAGATAAAGGAAGATCAAATATTGGGATAGACAACTGGCCCTGCCTCTTACGGTCATTTTCAGACCCAGGTAGTATTTGAATTAGAAATAAATGTTTCAGATCGATGATTCTGAGCCACATTATGTACCACAAGAGGTTTGAGGTTGTGCTGGATTGCTTAGGCATTCCTCCAAGAGAAGCCAGAGCTGGCACTATAGTTTTATCCAATTAATTATTATTTAGTAATATAATTAATTAGAATTGGTGTGGAATGCAGATTTGAGGAGAAAGCTGCCAGCAATAATCAACGCTTAAAGGCAGAAGGCAAGACTGGGAGATATATAGCATTTTCTCTGATGCCATCATCAGCTTGCTGGAGATGTTTGCACATGTGTTTGGAGCCAGGCAAAGAGATTAACTGTAACCACAGCAAGAAGAGAAAAATGGACCAAGTCTTAGTACCAGAAGAGATGGTTGTTTTGAATCAGCATTGGGTGCATTCTATATCACAATAGAGCCTGTGAATCTTAGGAGCATTTGTGTCCTGAGATCATTCTTTTGTAAAATGAAAGCCTGCATCTGGAGGTACCTGGGATGTCAGGTTTCATGAGAGTTTCAGGAGTTTGAGGAGTGGCATCTATATTATTTGAACATTGATAGCTAAGTATATTTTCTCAGATAGTATAGGACTGAGTGGGTCATTCTGTGTTTTTTCTAGAATATTCTGCCTTGTTTTTAGAAAATACCTCAGATAACTTCTGTGTAGTCCATAAATGGGCTGCCTTCCCACCTTTTTTTTTTTTTTCCTAATAGCAAACACGAAGTTTTTGCTTTAGAAGAGAAAGTGCCCGAAGAGGTGGGAAAATAAGAGATTTCTCCAGCCTAATCATTCCAAACAATTGGAACATAACAGTCCTCACACTCACAGGTAATAAGGAGCTCCCCAGCAAGTGGAATCTAGGGCAGGACTGAAGATGTAGGTAAACCCGGCCATGCCTTGCAAGGGGAGGCTGTGAATACAGTTAAGTCCTGAAATCAAAGTAGACAAAACTCACATTTTTTACAAATGCTTTCTGTAGTTTCTTGCTTTGTTTTTACTGACTACTCAGGATGTCTGCTTTAGTGTAATCCCCTTTAACATCAGTGTCCAGCGTCCTTCAAACTTCCCAGTGGATTTTGATGGGCTCCTTCTTCACAGACATACACATTGAAAGAATGTTTGAATTTGTGCTAAAGACAGGCTGAGAAGATGTTTTCTTATACTGAATGCATTGCTTCTTCCTTGTGCTAATAACTGTAAAAAAAAAAAAAAAGCGTGATAAACTCATACGATTGCTCCTGCACTTTCCTATGTTATGTAGGTCATGTCTTTTGAGGCAGCATGATATTTGTTCAGAGGAAAGGTTTTATCTTAGTAAAATGTGTCTGTTCTCAGTGGGAGAGAAGCCAGGACTTGGGCATCTGACAACCCTGGTTGCGTTTCGGCCCCACCTCTCACTAGCTGCCTGTCCCTGGCAAATGGCCCTGTTCCCTGGGATCTCAGATTTCATTTCCTATGATAAAGATTCTTTACTGGCTGAGCTACCAGGGAAACTTCCTCTCACTTCCCAGTGGCTCAGATGGTAAAGAATCTGCCCAAAATACGGGAGGCCCAGGTTCAGGCTTCCCTGATAGCTCAGTTGGTAAAGAATCTGCCTGCAATGCAGGAGACCGCGGTTTGATTCCTGGGTCAGGAAGATGCGCTGGAGAAGGGGTAGGCTACCCACTCCAGTATTCTTGGGCTTCCCTTGTGGCTCAACTGCTAAAGATTCCGCATGCAATGCTGGAGACCTGGGTTCGATCCCTGGGTTGAAGATCCCCTGGAGAAGGGAAAGGCTACCCACTCCAGTATTCTTGCCTGGAGAATCCCATGGACAGAGGAGCCTGGTGGGCTACAGTCCATGGGGTCACAAAGAGTTGGACGCGGCTGAGTGATTAACACTTTCACACTTTCCTGATGGAGATGGCCGTGCCTCCCTCCAGGAAGATGGAATGAGTTCTAGAGGATGCGAAGGGTCCAGTCCATGCCCAGTTCCCTGCAGCTACTTAGTGAGCATTTCCTTTCTCTGTCTTGATTTTCCAGAACTTTACCTTCTTTGGGAAAAAAAAAATATCCTGCCAGTCAGTGTTTAAGGCAAGAAATAATAATCTGGTTTGTCACTAAAATTTGAGAACCTGCTGTGGGTGGGACTCAAGGTCCCTGTGGCAAATTCAAGAAATTCTTGCTCTATATTTGTGGTTCTGGAAGTGTGGTCCTCAACCTCATAGCATCATCACCTGGGAACCTGTCAGAAATGAAGATTCTCAGTGCCCCCACCCCAGACTTGTCAGTTAGAAACTCTGAAGTCCAGCAATCTGCATTTTAACCAGACTTCTGGATGATTTGAATGTACACTAACATTTGAGAACACTCCTCTAGATATATGGGTTCTTAGACCTTGCTAGACCTGAGAGTTCTGAGGTGTGTTTTGAAATTCGTGCACCAGGGCCCCGATCCCAGAGGCTATCATTTTCTGGTAGTCTGGGATAGAACCCAGGCATGAGGATGTTTTAAAGATTCCCAGGTAATTCCATTGTGTGCCACGATTGAAAAATTTTGCTCTGAAAAGTTTCCATCTTATCCTCTTTTCCTTCCCTCTTCCCCTCCCCACTTCTTCCTCTTTCCTCTTCCTTCATGTTGGAATTAGGGAAAGAATCCACTTGTAACATGAATCCAGAGGGGCTCACAGGGAGTGGGGGAGATGCTACCCACAGACCACAGAAAATTTCTATTGCTTTTGCTTCATTCCTACAGAGCTCTGCTCTGTGATGTAAGTCTGACTTTAAATATACCACACATTCATGTACAAAAAGTATGAAAAAGCTGAGAAACTTTGAAGAAGAAAATAGAAATACCACACAATCATAGTCCTATTCCTCCAAAGATCTCATTACATGTTACCATTTTATGAGTTGAGAGAGTAGCGTTGACATGTATACACTACCATGTGTAAAATAGGTAGCTAGTGGGAAACTGCTCTATAGCACAAGGAGCTAAACTTGGTGCTCTGTGATGACCTAAAGAGGTGGGATGGGGGGCAGGTGGGGGACATGCTCAAAAGGGAGGGGATATTTGTATATATAGTTGATTCATGTTGTTATTCAGCAGAAACTAACACAGCATTGTAAAGATATTATACTACAATAAAAAAGTAAGGTAAAAAGTAATAATTATAAAAAATAAGTGAATATGTAACATTTTGCTGTATTAGCCTCCAGTCTTGCACTTCTGTTATTTTCAATATGAAATCAGGATCGTGTATATGTATACACACATACACACACACACACACACACACATATAGTTGTATATCTTGCTTTTTTATCTGACATTATGATAATTTTGCATGATATTCTCTGAATTCTGTTTCAAAGCCAGCATCAGATTTTACTGTGTGGATTTGGTCGTAATTGTCTCAGCCATTTCACTCTAGTTAATTCCATTCTGTTTTTTCCAGGATAAGTTCAAATATCCTTGTAAATAAATCCTTGCTTTTCTGATTATTTCCTTAGATAGATTCCTAGAAGCAGAATCACTGAGCCAAAACTTTTAAGCAGTTTAAAGGTTCTTGTTACCTAGTGCTGAATTCATTTCCCCAAAGGGCTATGTATGCCATCATTATTCCCACTCTCTGAAAGTGTGCTGTTTGCTTGTACTTTTGCTAANGATTAGTGGTGGGGGGGTGGTGGTGGGGGGAGGCGTACCAGGGATGCAGCTTTGCTCATCTCCAAAGGAAGGAAAGAAGAGGTAGAGAAAGGAAATTAACGGTTTCGGGCACTTTTGCTCCCTGTAATAGGCTTACCAGGCGGTGCAGTGGTAAAGATTCTGTCTGCCAGTGCAGGAGACACAAGAGACTTGGGTTCCATCCCTGGGTCGGGAAGATACCCTGGAGGAGGGCATGGCAACCCATTCCAGGATTCTTGCCTAGAGAATCCCCTGGACAGAGGAGCCTAATGGGCTACAGTCCATAGGGTTGCAAAGAGTCAGATATGACTGAAGCGACTTAGCATGCATGCAGGAAAGTCTCTGTGCCGGAAGGGTGGTGATGAAGTTGTAAATCATCATTACTCTGATTCGTGAGGCTTCTTCTGGTACCTTCCCATCCTAGGTGCTCTACTTTTGAAAGTGTAGACATCTACCTGCCAACTTCAATTCAAGCTTAGAGTATCTGTGGTCTGTGGTAAATAACAGAGGCCCAACTATTGGTGAATTTCAAGAATTTGGCATTATTTGAGAGGTGGGAAGTTTAGGCAGGACAAGAGCAGAAAAGATTGAACTCTTCTATTTCAAGGTCAGGGCCACATTACATTGTCTTCTATTTGTTTGCAGAGTGCTTCCTTTTTTTTTTTTTTAAGGCAAATCAGATAACTGATGGGTCAGAAGCAAACTGATGGCCTTGCTTTTATCCCAAAGGCTCCTGGATGTGTTCTGTCCTATCCATTCACCCATCCATCCATTCACCTACTTACCCGTTCAGCCAGCCAGTCAGCCACCCAACTAGCCAGCCAGTAATCCATCCATCTATCCATCCACCCACTCATCTACCCATTCATCTATCCATCCACCACACATCCATCCATTCACCCATGCCTCCATCCATCCACTCACCCATACATCCACCCACTCATCCATCCACCCACCCACTCATCCATCCATCCACTTATCGACCCACACCATCCACCCATCTGTCTTTCCAACACACATTTATTAAACATATACTATCAGAAAGCAGTCACTTTTGTCCCTGGTTTTCTGAAGCACTGTAATACTGTATAACACATGAGTATGTGCTGTGAATCCAGAGACCCAGGTATGAACTCATTTGCATATGCAGGGTTTTGTTTTGGTTTTTTTTTTTTTTTTTCACTTAAACTGCACATTATGGCAGGTAAATAGGAAATTAGCCAATAATAAGGTCCAATCTATTCAAAGACAGTAGTCATAGCATGTAAGTAGTGACTGAGGGGACAGTTGGAGAACAACTGTAATTTTGGTGAGAGAACCTCCAGGCTATAGACAGAGCTGCCCAGCCTGCCTCTTCTTCCATACAATTCCTTTTAGTTTTTAATTTAAAAAATAAAGGTCTGGAGTTATGTTTAGCTCATTTTGTGGGTGTTACAGACTTGGATAATGGCCTCCGATGATGTCCTGGTCCTAATCCCTGGACCTGTGAATATGTGGTAAAGGGGCTTTGCAGAGGTGGCAGGAGGAACTAACATGTGCAGAAGAAATCTCAAATATGTTATCCTAAGGGGTTTCCCTGGTGACTCAGTCAGTAAAGAATCTGCCTGCAATGTGGAAGACCCAGGTTCAATCCCTGGGTCAGGAAGATTCCCTGGAGGAGGAAATGGCAACCCACTCCAGTATTCTTGCCTGGAGAATCCTATGGACAGAAGAGCCTGGTGGGCTATATAGTCCATAAGTTGCAAAGAGTTGGACACAGCTGAAGTGACTTAGCACGCATGTGCGCAATATAATTTGACTTTTTCCCACTACGTGTCCTATTTTTTGGTTTAAAAGGTTCAATCTCATAGCAGATTACACAGAAATGAATTCTGTCCTCTCTCCCTTTATCTTTGGAGGAACTTCTTGCTCTAAGTTTGGTTTATTGCATGTTGATACTGGCTCTTGGTTTTCACTACTTTACCACCTGTTCTAAGATCCCTTTGGTCCTAGCCTCCATGATGTCCCAGTAGTGATCAGATTGTCCCATAAAGGTAGAACATGTATGGCTGTCTCAGGTAAGACTGTGAGGTTCAACTTCCAAAGAGGATTTTGAAAGTTTTATGGAGAAGCAATCCTGAGTACGGTTCTGACAGTGTATCAGAGCAGGTACTACGAAATAACATCGTAATTTCAGTGTGCGGCTTTTATATAACTTAGTGTTGATTCTGCTGTAAAGTGGAGATGACACCAACCTCCATGGAATGCTATACTGACAAAATCAGCGCAGAGGGACGGCGTGCCCCAGCCAGATGAAAACATGATGACACCTGAGTGGTTCTCACCATTCGCTCAGCCACCTCAACCAGTTCCAAACTCATTGTCTAAAACTATGATGCAGGCTGTTTCTCTCAGCGGTTCAGACCAGCCTCCAAAAGCATAGCTTCCTCGGACACCAACTATAATCTTTAAATTGCATAGCTTCTGTGCCTTTGTTTTCATTTTTCCTTCCACGAGGAGGAGCAGGGAATAGCGTGGCTGGTAGGAGTTACCTTAATCCATCATAAAAGCTTTTCTGTCCATAGGCAGATAGACTCAGCTTTGCCTAAGCACAAATGGTGATGATGGAACCAAGCTGTGACTCTTTTTAAAATGTAGTTAATTTTACTTATGATAATATCCTGTAATCAAAATGGATTTAAAATTGTGTAGTTATCATTATCAGTAATAAAGCTGACTCCAGGGCCTGTGTTTTCAGAGGTGTTTAAGAACATTTCAATTTTGAGATCCACATGTTCTGTATTTGTGGCTAGGTTGGGATATAAATGGGCTTCCCTGGTGGCTCAGAGGTTAAAGCGTCTGCCTGCAATGCGGGAGACCTGGGTTCAATGCCTGGTCGGGAAGATTCCCTGGAGAAGGAACTAGCAACCCACTCCAGTATTCTTGCCTGGAGAATCTCATGGACGGAGAAGCCTGGTGGGCTACAGTCCACGGGGTTGCAAAGAGTCGGACACGACTGAGAGACTTCACTTTCACTTTCACTTTGGGGATGTAAATTAGAATTTTATTCTTTTCCCTAACTACCCCAATTCCCCCTTGGCCATGTGGAAGGTAAGCTGTTGTATGTTGAGAGCTAATAAACAGAGGCAGCCTTAAAACATGCCGGATTAAACCAGTTTGGAAACTTGGAGAAACTTCCCCCAGTGGGGAGAGGGTCATGGTCAGGGAACAAACCAGTAATTCATCTATGCCCTTCACTTGGAGTAGATGATGTGCCTGGAGGTCATGCGTATTTTTAAACATTTATTCCATCTCATTTTCTTTAATTTGAAATTATTCAGCTTAATGTAATAAGAAAGTTTAACTGAAATTTTGAACAGAGCCTCACATATAGGGTTAGTGCTCTACAAAAAAATAACTGAATTTCCAAAAGAAAGCAAATTTAGAAAGCCTTCACAGCTATACTACTTAAAACAATCAACTTTATGTTAAAAAAAAAAAAAAGAATTTTGTGTTCTGCTGGAATGTGGCCCCATACCAGTGTGTTCTTCTCCTCCAGTTCATTTCTTAATGAGCTGGAGTATCCAGTGAGATCTGAATGAAGTGCACATAAAGTAACACTGGAAGAATTGCTACAATCTTGTCAGCTTTTCTGATTGTACCAAATAATTCAAAGCAAAGTTGGAGGTGTATATAGGTCAGCCCAGGAAGCCAAAACAGAATTCCATTGACTGGGTGGCTTAAACAGCAGAAATGCATTTTCCCACAGTTCTGGAGGCTGAAAGTCCCAGGTTAAGGTACATCATGGTTGGATCCTGGTAAGAATTTTCTTCCTGGTTTGCAGATGGCTAGCTTGTCACTGTGTCTCTTCTTATAAGGGCACTCGTCCTATCATGAGGGCCCCACCCTCATGACCTGATCTAAACCTAAGTCTCCCCCAGAGGTCTCACATATCACCTCCAATATCATCATGCTGAAAATTAGGGCTTCAACATTCAAATTGTGGGGAACACGAACATTCAGCCCTTCAAAAGGGCTGTGTAGCACAGGGATGTCTACTGAGTACTCCGTAATGGCCTATACAGGGAAAGATCCTAAAAAAGTTATGCATAGACATATGTGCCTGTGTATATGTATAACTGATTCACTTTGCTGTATGCCTGAAACATGATATTTATAAATTAACTATACTCCAATACAAAGTTAACAAAAAAAGAAAAAACTTTTCAATCACACACACACAAAGGGTAAAATGAGTTAAAAGAGTAGATGTGTTGTAAAAACAATAGTAGAAAAACAGCAATCTCTAGAGCCTCTGGGACTGTAGCCTTTGGGGCCCAGTAGTGGTTGACATTCAGTGACCATCTTCACTGCTCTTCAGGATAATGGACTGGATGGATGAGTCCTTAAAAGTGTGATCAGAAGTGGCCGGCACGTTTGTTGAGACTTAATCCTCTACTCCAGTTGCTTCTGCCACATGTGTCCATAACCATGAAGCTCCTCTTTCTACCATGATCACGCTTTGCCAGCCATCCCTACTTCTGGTGGGGTCCCTGTGCTGTGAAGGACCCTGAATAGTGGTGATCAGAACCACAGGAGCAGTGTAGCGTGTTCACATCTGCCAAGAAGTAGCTCCTCCCTGGATCTTGGGACCTGTCTTTAGGTCATCACTGGAGTTGGCCACTTTTAAAATGGCATGACATTTATCTTCCTATTATTTAATAGGGAGAAGGGAGGAAGCAAAGGAATAGTAAACAGAGGAGAGACACCTAGAGATGGTAATTCTCAGTCAGGCAAGGAAAAAGTAACATTTCATTGTTACAGACTCCCCCTTTTAGTGGTATTTTGGGGAGGAAAAAAACCCCACCATACTGTGCCAACACAGTGCGCAAGAATTGTCTGATGAGTGAATGAATGAGTGAAAGTAGCAATTACCTGGAATTCAGGCAGAGACCCCAGTTTTTCTCAACATAAACTTACCATCTGACAGGAGCACGAAGTATGGCAGATTTAGTGAGTCCACGTGATAGGCTTGTTAATTCTTATGAGTTTCCTAAGCAAGGGGAAATAATGGGTATCAGTACCATGATCTCTCACAAGAGAAGAAATAAATCAGCCCTGTGTTTAAGAAATGTGCATGAAGAGGGCAGGTGTCAGTGAGCAGTGAGAATCTGGGCTTGCAGACATCCCTTCCACCCTTCCCCACCATCCTGTCACCTGCTTTAACCTCTCTGTGGATGCCAGAAGCCTTACCTGCCTCCTACTTCCTTGACCTCCTTGTTTCTGGTATACTTTTCTCGGCTCCACAGTATCACCAAGAGACTCTACCAGTATATCCATTTCCAGGCAGCTTCCCAGATGTCACAGTAGTAGAGAATTCACCTGCCAATGGGAGAGATACACGAGTTGCGGGTTTGACCCCTGGGTGGGGAAGATCCCCTGGAGTAGTACAATGCAACCAACCTTAGTGTTCTTGCCTGGATAGTCCCATGGACAGAGGAGCCTGGCGGGCCTTAGTCCGTTGGGTTGCAGAGCTGTACACAGCTGAGGGACTGAGCACACACACTTCCCACAGCACCTCCCCCGCGGACCTGCCCACCCCTTCCACCACAGACACGCTCTGGCCTCCTTGGAAGCTTGTGGTTCATCTATCACTTTCCCATGTCCATCACTGCTCTTCTTTCTCCACTTTAGTCTTCAGGTAGAAGGAAGGGGTGACTGAAATAAATAAGATCATATGCAAAATCAATTTGCCAAATAGGGCCAAACTTCTGAAGTTAGCTGAGTCATACTCTTTGTGTTTCTCACTGGGGCTGGATGTATTTTTGTAGTTTCATGTAGTATGCTGCATAGAAATCTTGATGTTTGCCTTTTTGGAACCATAAGATGGTCTATACCAACCAGTGATTTGTGATAGTAGGAATTTGCTAGAGAAAGCTATACAGAGACTTAAGAAATGCCTTAAAATGCAAAAAAGTTGGTTAAACCTTATAGATTGTCCAGTTGACTCCCATACTTCAAACAGCAGAGTATACTTACAAAGAAAACTATCTTAGGGCACATAAATGAAGAATTGAAATGTATTCATATAATTTTAAGAAGACTATCGAGAATACATAGTCTGGGTTTCCAGGAGAATTTTCATCTCTATTATTGTTCTAATAATAGAACAATGATAGTATTGTACTATTAACGATACTATCATTGTTAGTATTGTCAGTGGTAGTATCTTTTATCTTCTAATGATTAATGTACTAAATTAGCAGTGATTCACCTCCCAGGGACTTCACAAGTATCCTTTCCACCTTCCTTCTATAAATAAAATAATCACGCTCTATCCCTCTTTTATGTTATGGCTATGAAATTAGCCTGAAGCTGTGCTGTGTGGCACAACAGCCATCAGCCACTTGTGGCCATGGAGTACCTAGACTGTGCCAGTCCCAATGGAGGTGTGCTGTGGGTATCAAACACTCACTGGGGCTCGAGAACCCAAAAAGGGTAAAATAAATCATAATAGTTTTTAATTCTTGATCACATGTTGAAACTAATATTTGGGATATATGTTGGGATAAATAAAATATATTATTAAAGTTACTTTTACCTGTTTCTTTTTGTAGCTACTCAGAAATTTTAAATTGCACATGGGGTTTGCATTTGTGACTTGTATTATATTTCTGTTGGAAATTATTGTATTTTATATTGTGTTATATTTCTGTCTTAAATAAATCATATTTTAATTTAATTGCTTAAAACTTAATTTTGAATTTATGTCCTAATTAGGAAGATCACATATTTATTTATACCTATAAATATATCAGATTACATATTTCTAATTCACTTACTGTAAGAAAAACTATTGGATACATCTCTGAACAAATTAATTGATACTTAAATAGATAGTAGTTAAATAGATAAATGTAAATTGAATCAAACTTAATATAGTTAGATTGTCCGTTTTTAAAGCTTTTCTTATGTGAAATTTTATTCTAAGTATGTTTGTTTAACACAGGTTAAATAAACCTCTGTTAGAGGTTAGAATTCTGGAATTAGTGCAAAGTTCAGTTCTGTTTGCTTTGCCCTGAACCACTAATATTAACTCTTCCAGTGACATGACCCCCAGCATTTGTAAAGTTAATTCAGCATGCTAAAAGTCATCTTCTTTAGTTTGTTTACATATGTCTTTATTATATTCCATGGGCCTAGCAATGAAATTCATCTAACTAACATTTCTGTTAATTTGGTCAGTAGATCAAAAACTAACAAGAGAAGCTTGGAATTCCAAGGACCCAAAGCTAAACAAATTAATACATCCACCCATTCAACAAACATTTGCTGAGAGAAGGAGGATAAAGGGGTGTCCTAACAGGGTTGGAACTCTCTCTTCTCCCTCACTGTGTAAGGTTCATGGACTTGTAGACAGACCCAAAGACACAGATTCAAAAGCATATGATACGTTCTAGTACAGGGGTCCCCAACCACCAGGCCACAAACTGGTACCTGTCGGTGGCCTGTTAGGAATCAGGCTATACAGCAGGAGGTGAACAAAGCTTCATCTGCATTGACAGCCACTCCATAACTCACATTACCACCAGAGTCCTACCTTGTGTCAGATCGATGGCTGCATTAGATTCTCATAGGAGTGCAAACCCTACTGTGAACTGTGCATGTGAGAGATCTACGGTGCACGCTCCATATGAAAATCACCCCAAGACCATCCCTCTTCTCCCTCCAGGCCCGTGGAAAAATGGCCTTCCATGAAACCAGTCCCTGGTGCCAAAAAGGTTTAGATCAGTCACTCAGTCCTGTCTGACTCTGTGCGACCCCATGGACTGTAGCATGCCAGGCCTCCCTGTCTGTCCCCCACTCCCAGAGCCTACTCAAACACATGTCCATTCTGTCAGTGATGCCATCCAACCATCTCATCCTCTGTTGTCCCCTTCTCCTCCTGCCTTCGATCCTTCCCAGCATCAGGGTCTTTTCCAGTGAGTCAGTTCTTTACATCAGGTGGCCAAAGTATTGGAGTTTCAGCTTCAGCANGCATACAGGTTTCTCAAGAGGCAGGTCAGGTGGTCTGGTATTCCCATCTCTTTCAGAATTTTCCACAGTTTGTTGTGATCCACACAGTCAAAGGATTTGGCATAGTCAATAAAGCAGAAATAGATGTTTTTCTGGAACTCTCTTGGTTTTTTCGATGATCCAGCGGATGTTGACAATTTGATCGCTGTTTCCTCTGCCCTGTCTAAATCCAGCTTGAATATCTGGAAGTTCATGGTTCACCTACTGTTGAAGCCTGGCTTGGAGAATTTTCAGCATTACTTTGCTAGCATGTGAGATGAGTGCAATTGTGTGGTAGTTTGAACATTCTTTGGCATTGCCTTTGGGATTGGAATGAAAACTGACCTTTTCCAGTCCTATGGCCACAGCTGAGTTTTCCAAATTTGCTGGCATATTGAGTGCAGCACTTTCAGGGCATCATCTCTTAGGATTTGCAATAGCTCAACTGGAATTCCATCACCTCCACTAGCTTTGTTTGTAGGGATGCTTTCTAAGGCCTACTTGACTTTGCATTCCAGGATGTCTGGCTCTAAGTGGGTGTTAACACTATCGTGGTTATCTGGGTCATGAAGATCTTTTTCATATAGTTTTTCTGTGTATTCTTGCCACCTCTTCTTAATATCTTCTGCTTCTATTATGTCCATACCATATCTGTCCTTTACTGTGCCCATCTTTACATGTTAAAGATGGTATCTCTAATTTTCTTGAAGGGATCTCTAGTCTTTCCCATTCTATTGTTTTCCTCAACTTCTTTGCATTGATCACTGATGAAGGCTTTCTTATCTCTCCTTGCTATTCTTTAGAACTCCCCAGCCAAATAGGTTGGGGACCACTATTCTAGTAGCTACCAGTTGCTGAGTTCATCACTGTCAGATTGGCAGGAATAATGTTATAGCTAGATCCCAGGCCTGAAATTTTCTGTGTTCCCTGTCTTCATGGCAGGTAGATGATTATATTTCACATTTATGTTATTAATAATGGAAGCAAAAACAAGACCAGATCTTTCTCTACTCCCTTCCTATACTTTTTTTTAATGCTTTGCCTGTGCTTTAGAAAATGTTATTTTTCTTGTGCATGATAAATGTTGGTCTTAAATGATCAAAGTCACAATGTTAGCTTGAGACATTTGAGGCTTCTTTGAACTCAGGTAAACTTGAGTTAGAAACAGCCTCAAACAGCCTGAGAGTCTTTCCTCTGTGGCTTCAGATGGTCCAAGAGATGGACCTATAATTGTCCCAGGATGAGGTTGTTTCACAGAATTTGACCATCTAGTCATTCCTGAGGCCATGACACCAGAAAGGCATCAGAATGATATTAGTTAGAGACCCAAAATGTGAAAATTGGCCTTCTCTTCACCCTGAATATTTTAGTATTTCCTGAGTCCAATTGGTAAGCACCATCCTCATGTGCCAAAGTGTTCTGAAGCCAGCAGCCTTCATGGGGGACTCACTCAGCAGTCCATGTTCAGGGTGGCTTTTCTAGAACAGGGTGGGAAAAAACTTGTGTAAATTATTCTTTCACTTATTTCTCTAATAAGGCTATATATGAGCCTTGATATTTGTCTAAGAGATGTCATGGTTTTAAGCAACCATATACTATAATAGCATAGGTTTTCCCTACTGTATGGAAGTACAGTATTCCTATGAAACCTCCTAAGCTGAAATAACATGAAACGAAGCATATCTCCTGCTTTCCAAAAGTTCACTTTATGCCACTTAGCTTTTATGAAAGACCTACATTAGTACATGTTTCTGCTAACTGCAAGAAATCTGAAGGGTAACAGAAATTTTTGTTTTCATAAAAGTATAAATCCTCTGTTTGCCTTTATGCTCTTTTCACACAGCTAGTAAGTGGCAAAGCCAGGATTCAAAACTAGGCCCTCTCTTCCCAAAGTTCGAGATACATGATGTCATGCAGATTTATCTGTCTAGATATTTAAGTTTTCATTTTGGAAGACTTGAATGGGCTGTTTCTAAATCCTGCTTAAAAGAATTCTTTCCCTTTTTTGTCATTCCCTCTTAGAGAGTGACTTGAACTTATTAGGGATCTTTGGACATAGACACAGGGATTTTGTTCCCGGCTGTGATATCACTGAAATATTTCCAATTATTAGCATTATATTTGTGTGATAGTATGGACTCTGTAAAACACAGTCACATCTTTTTACTTCTTTTGAGTCTTACAGCAGCCCTATAAGCTATGCATTGTTAATCTCGGTTGTGTGTGTGTGTGTGTGTGTGTATGTGTGTGTGTAATTTCTAAAATGACCATGCTAAGGCTCAGGAAAGGTTCTAAAGGATCAGCATCCCCACTGTTGCTGGATGGGA